AAACCCTGGTCCCTGCACTTGCCTAAGCAGGCACTTAGTCCACTGAGCTATCTTGCCAGCCCATTTCACTCACTTTGATGGGAAGTTCATCATGTCACTGACGTGTGGAATATGATACTAAGTAAGTTGACATAAGAAGCACAGTCTGATAATCCATTCAAATATATACATTAGAATATCTATATAATAGAAAATATTATAGAAACATGAAAGAGGATGGGGCTGGGGAGATAGCTCAGTAGAATAAGCGCTTGCCTGGCAAGCACAAGGGCCTGAGTTCAATCCCCAATTCTGAAAAAAAAAAAAAAAAAAAAAAGAGGAAATCATGAATTCATAGTGTTAAAAATACCTTCAAGCTGGGCATGTTGGCACATATCTGTAATCCCATCATTCAGGAGGCTGAGGCAGGAGGATCACCATTGATTTCAAGGCCAACCTGGGCTACAAAGTGAGTTCAAGGCTAGTCTGAGCTACCCAGTGAGACTCTGTCTCAAAAACAAAACAAAACAGAAGAAAAACTCTTCAAAATGAGTCATGTTTTTATATGAATTTATAGGTTGAATTACCTACACTGTTTTTATAGATGAAGTGTATTTTCTAAAAGTAATTGTATGATCTTTGGTTTTTGTTTTCTCAAAGGTGTTTTTGCTTTAGTCTTGGCTTCTTGATATTTAACGTCTTTGCTCATCTTCATTCAAAAGCTTTTGACCTGAATGTCATTTGTATAACCTTTGGTCATTCTTTGGTCATACAGTTATGTCAACTACACATATAAAAATGTGACATCTACCAGAACAGAAAATACACTGCATTCAATTGGACTTCTGGAGATATTACTATTTTTTCTCAGCAGAAAGATACACACACACACACACACACACACACACATATATATATATAATCAGGCATTTCCAAGTTTGTTTTCTCAAAATATCTAAAGGGAACATGAACGTCATTCCTACCACAGCAGGTTTCTCTGTGTCTACTGTAATTTTGCTATGTATAGTGGGTATAAATTCCAGTTTTTCCTCTTTCTTTCATTGTTTTGTAGCCAGGGTCTTGCTATATTGTTTAGCCTGGCCTTGAGCTGTTGTGTAGCTCTGGCTGGTCTCTAACTCATGGCAATCATCCTGACTCAGCCTCCCCAGGGCTGGGATTACAGGTGTGTGCTACCACACCCTGCTTACTTTCAACTTATCAAAAACAGTGAAACTAAAATCAAGAAAGATCAACTTAAAACTCCTTAACTATATCAGTGATTTGGAGAAATTCAGTGGCATAACTAGTTCCATGAGTAACAAGAGTACTATTCAGAACTCTCAGATAGGTTTCTTTTTGGAAAGTTGTGGCAAAAAAATCATAAAAATACATTTAATCTGTATTATATTAAATTATTTCTCCCCAAAGGGGAAATGACAATACCTGACTTACTAGTTTGTGAAAAGTGAATTTTATGAAACACTATCTGGGTTATACAGGTACTGAAAAAGTACAAGTCTCAAGTGCCCGACAATTGGGTTTCAGTTCAACAGTGGCTGCTTCTGGGTTAGCCAGCCACATCAAGACTCATCTTTTCTTTTGCTGTTCAGTGTCTTTTGCTTTTAGTGATATCAAATCCCAGATTATCATCCTGCCTAATCTTCCAGGTTCTTCCCATTTCATTATTTCTGTAAAAAGGACTCTGAGGCTGGGCCAATGAATACGCAACAGTAACAGAAACCAAGATAAACCTTAGTATCTCTGGCTTCATTTTGAACATCTCCCTTGGGCCCTGTTTGCTTAAGTGTGTTAATCACTTAAGTAATGAGTACAATGTTTATCAACCCTAATTTATTGAATTTATCTCATCGCCCTTCAAGACTGAGGACATCAACCCTGAGCTGTTTTCAGGATTTGTGAAGCCGTTCAACTGTTGAACTCTGTTTTCACAATGCTCTTTTCAAGATTCCTTCCCTTGGGGCGGCACCTGCAAGCCTTGGATTCCAAAGTCTGGCTGGACACACACCCCAAGATGGGATCTCCCAATACGAGGTCATCTGTCACCACCTGAAACCCACCCCAAGCAGAAGCAACCACCTCGCGGGAACCAGGCCGCCCTTTCAAGCCAAAGGCACTTCTCTGAGCAACAGCGGAATCAACCCCTAGCCACTCCTCATGAGGACCATCCTCCCCGAGCAGGCCGCCTATCCACTCCCACAGCCCGTTAGCTCTCAGCCGTCCCCTGCACCACCGTTTTACTGGAGCTTTTGTGGCTGAGCCTGGCCTGTGGGGACCCGGATCCGGGGTTTTCACAAGTGGGAGGAGTGGCAAAGGAACCCTTTAACTAGCTTGCAGTCTCGGCTAGAACGATAACTTCTTGGGCCCCTGAAGCTCAGCCGGCTCAGTGCTTCCCGCCCGGGGGCGCTCGCACTCCCCGGCTGGGTGCGCAGCGGAGACCGACGCGGCCCCAAAGGCACCACCCCGCTTCGGGACCGAGGCGTCCGAGACGCGGCCACCTGGAAGGTGCTGGGGTGGAGAGGGGAGTCTGTGCCTTAGGATCGAAGTCCTGGGTCTTACAGCTGAGGCCTTCAGAGCCAAAGGAGGCAGAATAACAAATCCAGCAGAGGCCAAGTAAAGACACAGCCCGCCGAGAAAGGACAAGGGGGGACCTAAGGGACCGGCGAGTCTCGAGCAGGGAGGAGCTCGGGCAGAGGGGCGGGCTGCGCGCCCTCCCACCCGCCCGGCTACCCGGTTACCCTAGCTCGGCAGAGCCAAGAGCCCTGTCCCGGACGCAGCTCTTCGGCAGCTCTGAGCTGCTGGACGCCTCAGCTCTGGCGGTTCGACTGGGCTGGCTGAGGCCAACAGCCGTGAGATCCCGCTCAGTCTTCGCGTCTCCTAGCAACTTTGGAGCCCCACCCCCCCGGGGGCGTGACTCGCCCAGGCCCCGCCCTTGATTAAGTCCCGTCCCTCTAGGTGGGCTCTGCGCATGCGCGGTGAGTGGGTGCGGTTCGGCGGCAGTTAGGTGGAGATGAAAAGGTTAGATGCTAGTGGAGGAGGAAGAGGTGCTGCTTGGTGTTTATGAAATCCCAGACCCAACTTCCTAAGAAAATGTACAAGATCAGAGACCGCTAGTGTTTCTGGAACTGTTCTCCTCTCAGCTAGTGCGAATTACCTCTATAGCTTTGTTTTTCTAATATTATCTTCATTATTATATTTAAGTACAATCCATTTTAATGAAAAGTGATCAAATTCAAGCTGCATATTTTGAACGTAGTACATCGGAGAGGGGGAGAGACAAAGGCAATGGTGCCCTGAAGCCAGCTCATTAGGGCCCATGAGAACCAGTAGTTAAAAATTTAGGGATTGTGTGAGCTGATCGTTAAAACACAAATTATATTATTACAAATTAAATTACATAAATAGAATAAACTCTATTTAAAAAACTTAAAAACCAACTGTTTACTTGCAACTCTCACATGTGTCTCCGCGGCATGATCTTTCTCTGAACTGTAGATTGCATGTGGAATGAGTATTCCACTCCTTGTCCAGAACAACCTACTAAGCCACTCCTCTGCTGAACATGGAAAAAACTGCTCTGTCCTCACTGCACCTTCAGCAGAGGTCGCCCGAAGCCGCCTCAAGTTGGCTCTGTCTACCTTCCTTATCACTCTCGATAAAACCTGGGTTGCTTTGCTCCCCCTCTGCTTGCTGCAGCAGAACCCAGCAGGTCCTAGCCTGTGCCCTGCAGTCTTCCGCAGCACAGCAACCCATTTGAAACCCAGATCAGATTAGGTTTCAACTAATAGCCCTGCTTTGGCTTTGCCGTTTGTGAGGCTAGCAAAGCCCTGCAAGATATGCACAGGATCCCTCCTTCTTTCTTCAGTGCCCCGATATCACCCCTCTAGTCACACTGGCCAAACACACAGCAGGTATTAAAGCTTCAGATATTGAGTGTATGTGGTTCACCATCACCACCTGCCCCTGCTGCTCCTCTGACCATGGAAGGAAATAGCCTTGTTACACAGCTGGCAGGAGGAGGTCTTTTTATTTTTGTTTTGGTTTTTGAGGGTGGATCTCCTATGCAGTCCAGCCTGACCTTGAACTTGAAGTAATCTTCCTGCCTTAGCTTCCCATGTGTCTGAAATTACAGATGTGTGTTATCATACCTGACAACAGTGTTTGTGTTCTTGATCAAAGAATTCAATCAAGATAATAAAAAAAAGTTGTGAAAGAAGAGCAGAATTTATTGCAAAATGAAACAGTACAAGATGAAAATATAACCTTAAGGGAAAGGGCAGTGAGAGCCAAGATGGCAGTTTCAGTGAATGAAAGTTTAAATTTTATTTCCACAATTTTGTTAGAATATTCTGCCTTTGTGGGCCTATTCATATCTTGCTTGAGTCCTTTCAAAGGTCAATAAGGAAAGACACTCACCGAAGTTGCTTATGTAAGGTCTGGTGAAACGTTCCCAGTGTTGTTTGGTACCAGAGATTATCAGTTGGGTATTTTAATTTTGGTGGTAGTGGGGTTGAACTCAAGGCTTCATAGATGCTAGGCAAACACTTCACCACTGAACCACATGCCTGGGCTACATACTTCAGATTATATCAACCCTGGGAGTGTTTTTAACTGGGATCTTTTTTTTTTATTATTATGCAACCTTTTATTTAAAAAAAATGTTTCTTTTTACAGAATACACTTTCTCATTAGCAATTCCCACAAAGGGAAAGTAATTTATTACTTACAATTTTACATTGTGAACCAATCATTCTAGAGCAAACAAAACATTTTTGAGAATGAATTTGGAATCTGAAGTATTCTGATTCATCTGCAAGAAGATCTCTTCCCTAAATTCAGAAGCTCTCCAAGCTTTTCTTCATAGGATTCAGAAATCTGTATTATGAAATATCAGCATTTCCTAATTTCAAAGTCTCTCTGGGGTACAGAGTAATTATCATCATTATCTGGTACCAAATGAACAGTCAGGGACATTTCCAAAGATTAAGCACTATCTGATTTTCTGGAAAGTAGTTACTCATGAATTTCCCTTTGTCTATTATTCCCAGGGAAAATGTGAAAGTACAGTCATGTATTATTCCCAGGAAAAATATAAAAGTATGGCCATGAATTGATAATAATAAAGCTGAATTCTCTTTAAAAGATAAATTAAAAGGCAAAAGCTCATATGCAATGTTTAATTATACTGAGTCTTGTGAGTTGGGAGGCAGACCCATTAACTCACTAAAACACAGAACTCAGTCTCACTATTTCTTGGATACAATTCCTCTCGACCTTAAATACTACAAATGACCATCTCACAAGGCCCGATGAACTTATCCGTTACTTTTTGCTTACTGTGAGCTGAATGGCATGACAGAGCAGAGGCAAAGAGGCGCACAATCAATCCTTAAAGTAGTAAGTCCAGAAGATCAGAGCTTCCACAGCATGGCAACAGCTTTGCAAATGCCCACGTCATGGTAGTTGAAGTAACAAAGGCCAGCAAAAGTTAAAGCTGAGAGTGCCAAAAGGCCTGCCTTGGCAGCTTTCTGGGGCACAGCTCCATGAACATAGTCCGTCACAACTTGTCCAAGGCCCCAGTGACTGTGAAGAGTGAGGGTTGCGGCCAGGGAGTAGTCCATTGCAGAGCAAGGATTCAAATATGCAGCAGGAAGCAGGCCCAGGAGCAAAACACTGACTGCTCTTTCACTAGTCCAGTGGACAGACGCAGCCTTGGAACCAGCATGGCAGCTTGGCGATAGGTGAATGTGCTGGGCTCCACACCATCCTGGAGATAGTCGGTCTTGGAGAAATGCTGAGACATGAGCAGGTTTTACCACTGGAGTTTGAAGAAACAGGCCTCGGGATCCCTGGGCCCCACGGAGGACACTCAGCCTCAGGATAGTCGCCATCTTGCTTTTGAAGCCTCAAGGTCATCCCTCTAACTGGGATCTTAATCCAATATGCCTATATCTTAAACATCAAGTTTCCCAGAATATTGCAGCAGCTTCTTATATTGATGCTTTACCCTAGACCCAAATGTTCTCAGACTGAAGTATCAGTCAACTACCTGTGTTGAAACCAGGATTGCAAGGCCCCATTGGAGTCTGATTTAGTAGCTCTGGGCTGAACAAGTTCTTGGATATGATGGGTGATGCTACTCCAGGGAACAGACATTGCGAAATACTGTTTTAAACTCTGCTGTCACACTTTGGTTGGAGCCAACCAATTTCCCTCTGCTGAAGTTGAATCACTTAGCCTAGTGTTTGAGGTCTCTTAGTCTTAGCTTGTTCATGCCTGACTTACCTTTTCACTCTTTTTTTTGAGCCCAACAGTTAGGTTAAAATGGATGGATTGCAGTGCTCTGGCTGAACAAAAGCTCATTCTAGGATTTTCCATGATTCTTGGACCCAGAATGGGACTTCAAATTCATCTTCTTGACTAACATTTTTTCTTTTCTCTCTCTCCATTTCCCTCTTTTCTTTTTTTGGTACTAGACATTAAACTCAGGACCTTCCACATGCTAGGCAAATGCTCTACCACTGAGTTACATCACTAGCCCCCTTTTAAAATTTTGAGACAGGGTCTTGTCAAATTTCCCAGGTTGATCTTGAACTTATGGTCTTCCTGTTTCAGGCTTCCACTTAGCTAGAACTGCAGATGTGCACCATTGCCTTGGCCTCAGGTTTTTCTGATGTCCCTTTTCCTTTGCAGAAATGAGGTCTTTAGCTGCCTGTTCTACCCCCTCCCCCCAAACACTTTCACTTAAAGCTTCTGTAAAACCCTTGCAGTTATGTTTTGGTGGATTTCTCCTGCTGGACTGTAAACTCTTGCTAGGCTATAGCTAATCCTTTATGTGTGTCCTGGTTCAAGTACGGTGCCTGCCCTTAGGAAATATCAAGTAAATAATGATACCTGATATTTCTTGAGCACTTAGGCTTGGGTAGAATTTACTGTTACATCACATTTTTTGTTCATGCCTGACTTACTTTTTGTTTTGTAGTAAACTGTGCAGTTCAGGCTGGCCTTGAATTCACTTTATGTAGACCAGACTGGCCTTGAACTTGTTATTTCAGCCTATCAAAGGCTGGGATTACAGGCGTGTGCCACCATACCCAGTTTACAGTGTATTTTTGTTCAACACTTTCGGTAGGCTTTATTACTACCATTTCAGAGATAAAACAAGTTTGAGAGGGGCGCTACTCTCACCATATGGGGCCCAATGGAGTGCCCCAATTTGGCCCAACTAATTTGTTCTTGATTCTAAGGCACAGGTAGGTTAATTAGGCAGAATTAGAAACTAAGAAGACAGGATGAGGACGAAGCTACAGGAGAGTCTCACTTAGATACTCTCTGGAATCCTGCTCTCACCAAAGGCAGTGGTCAGTCTTGGCGTTACCAGAGGTGGGCCAGGGTGCAATCGAACATCACTTTGGTTCTGGCTAGGGTTTCCTAGGGTTCGAGGGTCAGATGGCTCCTACCATGGGACTGTTCTTGCTGGACAGGGAGCAGGTCTTGGTTTCCATCATGGGGTGACTACGCCTGTTTGAGTGAAGGGGCGGTGGTGATCAAGCCAGGCTCTGATTTTCCTGGAAGGAGCAGGGTTCCAGCGTGGAGAAGCAGATGTCAGTCCAACCCTAGGAGTGCATCTTCTCTCACCCCTGGTGTCTGTCATCCCAGTGTTGTAGGTAGCTAAATTAGACAGAAATACTATAGGCAGTTAGGGCCAGGCCCTCAAGGACAATATGGAAGACAAGGTGACTTTGCAACTATGGACAGACACTCTGCTGTGGGCCAGATTTCAAGACAAGAGTAGACAAATGTAGGGCCGGGGAGATAGCTCAGTAGAATAAGCGCTTGCCTGGCAAGCGCATGGGCCAGAGTTCAGTCCCTGGTTCAGCAAAAATAAAAGGGTAGACAAATGCAGTCACATAGTTCCCTAAGGGTGGGCATCAGAGATTGATATGCTAAACAGGTATCCTGTCAACTTGAAAGAGCCTGAGTCACTAGTCCAACCGCAACAGGAAGAGACTTTGCTCTGTATTCTTGCCCGCTTGCTATGAGTTGCTCTCCCATTTGATCCCGATTTTAATCAACTTTACCTGAGCAATGGTGCTTGTAATCTCATTGGTTGACCATAGTTTTGCCCCACCTCATGCCTACTTAAGCGAGTTCCCATGGTTTTCACCTTAGATTCGCCTTACCACGTCGTTTTGCTCTATAAAATCCCTGGAAAAGGCATCTTCCCGGGCAACCCGCTCGGGTCCCCCTTCTGTCCCTCTCTTGGACAGAAGCTTTATCTCTCTCTATAAATATTCTGCTCTTAACCTCCGTCTGTTCCTAAAATTCATTCCTTGGTTTTAGAGAACACGAACTCGTCTAGATACCTTTTAGGTTGGGAGATCAGTTTTTCTCCCTGTATCACCAGCATGCAGGGGCACGTTCCCGGGATCGCAGCCAGCGTTAGGCATCCTCTGCTTCCTACCGGATCTGGACTTTAGGTGCGCCAAACCCCTCCCCTGGAGGAGTAGAGCGAAGCTCTGGGAGTAAAGTCGGCCCGCCAGCAGCCCCCCCACCCCGCGACCGCAGCGTTCTCTGATTGGACGCGGCTGCGTTCAGCCGGCCAATGGAGAGAGAGCGTGTAGGTTCGCGGAAGTGGAGGCCAGAGGTGTTTGCCGGGGCTTTGAAGGCTGGCTTGTGGTGGAGTCCTCCCGGGACAATGAGCTCCTTCCAGGGACAGATGGTCGAGTACCCAACCATCTCCATAGATCGCTTCGACAGGGAGAACCTGAAAGCCCGTGCCTACTTCCTGTCGCACTGCCACAAGGGTGAGTGAGCCCACCCCGGCTCCCTACCGCCCGTGCAGGGCTGGCGGAGGTAGTGAGCAGGGCGTCGGCCTGGAGCCCGCGAGGCCCGCGGCCTTGCTCAGACCCCTGCGGCCCGGCTGGCGGGGACGCTGGCCGCCCTCCTGAGCTGGCTGCTGGGACTAGGCCCTGCTCCCAAGCGCTGCGGTAGCTCTCCTGGTGGGGCCCAGCCGGGGGCCCGTGAGGGTTAGAAAGTTCTTTCCCTTATTCTTCTGTTCCCGTTACTGTGTGTAAAGAAAACGGGTTTCACATCCACCTGAAACGTCATTTAGGAAGCGCGTGTGCACATGCGCGCTCACGCAGTCAGGCACCAGCTGTGGATTTGACCTAGGACGGGCCCCCTCCGCCTCTTACATCTTATGTCTGCCTCGGACATGAAATGCTCCTTCTGCCGTAGGATGGCGGGGTGCAAATGTACCTTGTAGATGGCACCAGGCAAGCAGAGTACAGTACTACGGTTTATAGGTGAACACTTTTAGGCATGTTTAGGGTTTAAGTGTCGTCCAAGAGAGACTGGTTTGGGGCTGGGGGCTTCATCCAGGAAACAGCTGAATGATTCTTGAAGCTTAAATAACCCTTAATTTTACAGCCAGTGCCTATTTTTGAAATCGATTATGCCAGTAAGTCACCAACTTGACGTGCAAAACAGTTTTACAGTTCATTGTGCTAATTAGTACCACAGTGGGCATGGAGCAGAGGCAAGCTGAAGCATTCCAGCAGCCCCTCTTCTGGTATGACCTCCACAATAGCTGCGGTAGGGTATCTGCAATCCTTGGGAATGGTGAGGCGTGTAACAAACTTAACGTGCATATACATCTCCATCAGGAGTATTTTAAAGTAAATTATGGATGCCAGAATACTGTTCCTCCTTTCAGGGTGGGTGTGAGGACCAGCTATTGTCTTGAGTACAGAATCACTTTAACCTGGTGTAGCTTGTTGACGCTGCTGCTTCTGGGAAATCCATCCCGCACCTCCCCATCCCCCACCCTACCCCGCCCTCTACAGTTAGTACCAGTGAGGAAAAACTTGGATCTTTGTATCAGCCAGAGAGCACTTTGAGA